GCTGGAAGGGGTTGGAAGATCCTGATGCAAGATGTCAGAAATTATTTCTGTGTTTCCTTATTTTGCTGTGCAAAATGTGCCTTGGGGGTTGTTAGAGCAGCACCAACGTGTCCCGGGGTCCCCCTGGTCCCTCTCCTGCCTCCCCCAGGAATGTTGTTCACTGATAAAATGACCTGAAATCTAAGATTTAATCCCCCTCTTTCTGCTCTGCACACAGTCCCTTTTTGTTTCCATTTGTGCAGGGAGCAGAGGGCACTTTTATGACTAAATCCTGCCCAGAGGGGTTGTGGATTCCCCATCCCTGGAAGTGTCCAAGGCCAGGTTGGACGGGCCTTGGAGCAACCTGGGCTGGTGGAAGGTGTCCCTGCCCATGGCAGGGGTGGCACTGGATGGGCTTTAAAATCCTTCCCAACCCAAACCAGTCTGTGTTTCTACAATTTCCCCTGATGTTTAGAGGAGAAAATAGTGAGAAAATCGTCTTTAAATCATTCATTTTCACATATAGGGCACGAGATACTTCCTGCAGACACTCCCAGTTCTGCTCATTTTTCTCACCACTTTCCCCTCATTTTGCAAGTGTTTAAAAATAAGGGGGCTTGATTTTTTTTTTTTTCCTTGTGTGTTTTTTTTTCCTTTGCTCAGAAAAAGCTCCTCTGACCATTTCTGCTCAGGAGGATGTAAAAATAGTGTATTATAGAGCTCTGTATCCTTTTGAGTCCAGAAGCCACGACGAGATCACCATCCAGCCGGGAGACATCGTCATGGTAAGGAGGGATTGGGATGTTCCTGCAGCAAACCAGTTTTGCCCATGTGTGACTTAAGTTGTGTAAAGGAAGGAAACTTCAAACCTAAAAATTTGGTGGCAGGGATGTTGATATAGAACAACCTCCAATTTTTTTCCCAGTCTGTTGTGTCGAAGTCTAAAGCAATATTTGCTTTTGTCTCTCTAAAATTAGAGATTTACAGGGAAAATGTCACTTTTCCCAGGAATATGTGATTTTAAGGAGAGAGATTTGCAGGGAAGTAACATTTTTCCCAGAACTGTGAGAATCTAAGGAGCACTGCACACATTTTTAAATAGAGATTTGCCAGGAAAATAATATTTTTACCAAAAATATGTGATTTGAAGGAGCACTTCACACATTTTAAAGAGAGACTTTGAGGTCATGCAGGTCTTTTTATATGTTCCTTTTGGACTTGATTTTAGTTTACTCTCCCACAGTGGGGTAACTACTCTCTGTTCTCTTTATTTAACTTATTTTTGACAATAGTTAAACCTGGTTCTTGGGGGATTTCTCTCCTGCTCTGCAGTAATTGCTTAACTGGGCTACTCTTTTAGGCAAACTGATCTAAGTCAAATTGTGAACTGTGTTATAATTGTGCCTTGCTTTGAATCTTTGCTTCCCTCTGGAGGTTAAAAGGGAATGGGTAAGTGCTGCCTGACTCCAGGAAGGCTCTGGAATTGCTCCATTTCCATGGACACACAGTTTGTCCCCGTGTAGTTCTTGAATTCCCCAAGGGTCCAATTAACGAACTCCTTCACTTTATCAAAAGTAATTAAACTGCACCAACCCAGAGCTTACTTTTGATGCTGCATTTGTGCTCCTTGACCCTCAGTCCTTCCGTGTTTGTCTGTCCTGTGGTTCTCCCAGGCCCAGGGGGTGACTTTCCTGGGAAAACAACCATGTACAAGCTCACATGTTAAAGTGGCTCTGCCTGGTGGCATCAGTGCATCTCTGGAGTTCAGCAGCTCTCCAGCCTGGAGTGCCCTGGGTGCCACAAAATCACCATTCCTTGGAATAACCAAGGACTGGCACGGGCAAATGGAGCACTTTGCCACTGGAACCTGAGTTTGGACCCATTTGAAACCCAAATTTTGACCCATCTTAAACAAATTCCGTGTCCTGATTTCCATCTGGACAGGAGGTACCACCCAGGCTGGGACTGAGCAAAGAGCTGGACCCAGATCCTTGGGCTGGGACCAGGCTGGGCTGCAGAATTCCTTGTGGCAGGAGGACTTTAATGGATGTAGAGCTTGTAAATCACCTTGACAACAGTGTAAAGCACTTTTACACTGGGCATGAACCCTGAGACCTGTCTGGGTGGAAATGAGGGAGAAGGACGAGGGTTTGTTGGGAAGGAGGAGAGTTTGCCAGGCTGAGGAGGGCTCTGCTCCCCCAGCTCCTGGGATGTGTCAGTGACCTGGATCTGGCCTCATGGACTGGAGAGTCAGTGGCTTGTGGACTCTGTTTTTTAATCCTCCCACTTTGTAGTTACAGGATTTTGTATTTTTCTTGGATTTTGGCTTTCCCTGCTTCTTATCTTTCAATGTACTTTAAATGTCTTTCACTGTGAGCTTAGACTGATTTTAATCCTGTCTGTGACTCAGCCAAGCTTCTGTGTGGGGACAGATATTATTTAAAACAAATTCCTAATGACAGTTTCTCCTCAGTTTTGTTGCTTATTGATTGTTGGAGTTAGAATGAGTCTTCTCTGAGACACACAAAGAGTTCTCAGCTGTGACTAAAGTACAGTTGAATAAATAAAAACTAACCCCCCCACTATAATTCACTGTTCAGGTGTACATTTAATCTCTAGTTGTATTTTGGAAATAAATATCCTGGGATTGTTTGTCATAGGGACTTGGGGATGGTGGGTGTAAAAATATAAGGAAATTGGAAGAAATTAATTTTAAAAAGGTTCAGAGGAATTTGTTCCACATTCCAGTCCTGTGCTGCAAAACCAGATGTGACTGGTATCTTATATGAATGAGTAAGAAACCAGTTTTGTTATGAATGATGAAGTTTAAATTACCCTTCAAAGTGCCTTTTCCTGAGTGTTCCTGGAGAACTGAGTGGGGTTGGATGAGCAGGAACCTGACTGTCCTCACAGGCTGCTTTGGGAGTTCCTGTAGCTTCAAACCCCCTCAGAAGAGACATTCAATTAGCTGGGTTTAAAACCTTTTGGTTGGGTTTTTTCTCCTTATTTCTGAAAATTCCCAGTGGTTTCTGTCTGACTGTGATTTGTGTCAAAGATGCTCTTTTTGGAGCATCCCCACACCAGGAATGTGGCTTTTTGGTGCTGTTCCTTCTGTGTGTCGGTGGTTGTGGTTCCTCCCTGTCCCCCTGAGGGAGTCCCACCTGGGTGACTGTTCTTACTGTGCAGATGGTTCAGCCTGGCCTGGGGTGCTGACAGTCCCTTTCTCCCAGGATGTGACCTTCCCTCCCCCTCCTGCTGCTCCATCAATCCCGGGTGCTGCTGCAGTGGAAATTTTGCTCTGCACTGCAGTGAGAGCACATGGAGCTGGTCAAGCACAAAGTGCCTTTATTTCTGGTTTGCTTTGAGCTGGCAGGGACTGAGCCAGAAGGAGGGCCCAAAATAAGGAGAAATAATGGGTGGGTTTGCACCAAAAGAAGGGGGTGGGATGTTACAGGGGGAGGGAAAAAGTCAACAACCAGCCCCAGGCAAAGGAATCTGTCAGGAGCTCAGTGGGGTATTCCAGGGACAGAAATCCATCCATGGCCTGGGCTGATCCCCCAGCGTGGGCAGCGGGGCAGGGGGGGATTGTGCCCCTCTGCCCCCTCAGGTGAGACCCCCCTGCAGAGCTGCTCCAGCCCTGGGGAACAGCCCAGCAAGGACATGGAGCTGCTGGAGAGAGTCCAGAGCAGGTACCAAGAGGATCCCAGGGCTGGAGCAGCTCTGCTGGGAGGAAAGGCTGGGAGAGCTGGGATTGTTTAGCCTGGAGAAGAAAAGGCTCCAGGGAGACCTGAGAGCCCCTTCCAGGGCCTAAAGGGGCTTCAAGAGAGCTGGGGAGGGACTGGGGACAAGGGATGGAGGGACAGGACAAGGGGGAATGGCTTCCCAGTGCCAGAGGACAGGGATGGATGGTATATTGGGAAGGAATTGCTGGCTGGGAGGGTGGGGAAGCCCTGGCCCAGGTTGCCCGGAGAAGCTGTGGCTGCCCCTGGATCCCTGGGAGTGTCCAAGGCCAGGTTGGACAGGGCTTGGAGCAACCTGGGCTGGTGGAAGGTGTCCCTGCCCATGGCAGGGGTGGCACTGGATGGGCTTTAAGGGCCTTTCCAACCCAAATAGTTCCATGATTCCACAGTGATACTGTGACTGGGCTGTTACTGCCACAGCCAACTCTGGAGTTACACTGGGGTTTGCAGCTGTTACCTATTTTGATACTCTGGTTGCTCCTGACCTGAACAGAGGAGAGAAACTCTGGTCAAAAACCAGCCACTGTGGGGGGTTGGTCCCCCACAGGGTGGTGGGCACTGACCAGGCTCCCCAGGGCAGTGGGCACGGCCCCAGGGCTGCCAGAGCTCCAGGAGGGTTTGGACAATGCTCTGAGGGACAGGGGGGAGTGTTGGGGTGTCCTGGGCAGGGCCAGGGCTTGGACTGGGTGATCCTTGGGGGTCCCTCCCAGCTCAGGGTATTCCAGGATTTTATGGTCATATTTGTTGCATCCAGGCCTTGATGACCCAGCAAAAGGATCAGAGTGAGGGGCCTGAAAATTTCCACAGGAAACCTTCCTGTGGAATTGTTCTATATAAATACATTCCCACATTTGTGGGTTTGTTTGGAACTGTTCAGTGGGTGTTGGTTGCAATATGCTGTGGGGGTTTTTTTGTTCTATTTTCTGCAAGGGAATCGAGGAGAACTTGTAGAAAACTGCATTTTGTGTTAGTTAGGTCAGAAATAGCAATACTTCAGGGATTTCCCTGGAACTCACTGCTCCCAAGTCTGCTCTGCTGTGACAGACCTTGAGCAACTGTTCAAAACCCATCCTTGGTTTACGCATTAGAACTGAAACAAATTTTTTTTACCTCATCACCAAGAAACCCTTTTGAACACCTGAAAGTGCCCAAGGCCAGGTTGGAGCAACCTGGGATAGTGGAAGGTGCCCCTGCCCGTGGCAGGGGGTGGCACTGAATGAGCTTTAAGGTCCCTTCCCCTCCAAAGCATTCTGGGATTCTGCGCTTTTGGCTTGGGAGGAAAAGAAAATAGAAGGGAAAAAGCCTCGTAAAGCTGTATTGCACTGCAGGAAGTGAGTCCCTGGGGAGGAGACGGGTTGTTTGAAGCAAAAATTGCGTTTGCAGGGGATGTTTCTCAACTCTCTCTCTGCCTTGGTGTGTCTGCAGGTGGACGAGAGCCAGACTGGAGAGCCGGGGTGGCTCGGGGGAGAACTGAAGGGCAAGACCGGCTGGTTCCCTGCAAACTACGCCGAGAGAATCCCCGACAGCGAAGTGCCCGCCTCAGCCAGGCCGGCGGGGGAGGCCCCCAAGGTGTCCCTGCCCGAGAGCAGCACCCCCCTGGCAGCTCCTGCCCCCCCCGAGGCTCCTGCCACCGCCAACAACTGGGCAGACTTCAGCTCCACGTAGGTTTGGGGGGTGAGGAGCATCCCAGACCCGCCAGAGGCCTTTGGGGTGGGTTTGGCTGCGTTGGCACTGAGCAGGGGAGCAATGGCTGCAGGGGAAAAATACCCTCTGGGAAGGGACTTTTCCGTAGTAAATTGTTATAGTCGCGGCCTTGTGGGATTCCAGGCTGCTCCCACCAGAGCTGCTGAGCAGTGCCCAGGGCACAGCACACACAGGAGACAGTGCCAAGGGAGGGTGTGGCACGGTGGGAACGCTGAGGTGTTCACTTCCCTCAGCATCCTGGAATCACACACTGGGTTGGGTTGGAAGGGGCTGTAAAGCCCATCCAGTGCCACCCCCTGCCATGGGCAGGGACACCTTCCACCAGCCCAGGTTGCTCCAACCTGTCCTTGGGCACTTCCAGGGATCCAGGGGCAGCCACAACTTCTCTGGGCAACCTGTGCCAGGGCCTCCCCACCCTCACAGGGAACAATTTCTTCCCTATGTCCAACCTAAATTTCTCTTCTTTCGGCTTGAGCCCATTAATCCTTGTCTGTCCCTGCAGTTCCTGGTGAACAGTCCCTCCCTGACTTCCTTGTAGGCCCCTTCAGGCACTGGAAGGAACCTCCCAAATCTCCTTCTCCTAAATTAGTTGCCACCAAACCTTTTTGAAGGTTCCCAACTTGGATTATGCAAAATATGCTAATGACATTGATAACATGAAAGGATGATTTATTAATTCCTGCTTACAGCATTAACAAGACTGGTGGAAGTAGAACATGTGCCCTTCCCTACATGTCTTAACTCAATGCTCTGGGCAGTATCACCAACTGCCATTGTCTTCCCTTTTGACCTTGTATCCATATTTATAAATTAAAATATAAATATGAGGCATTGGCCCAGGTTGCCCAGAGAAGCTGTGGCTGCCCCTGGATCCCTGGAAGTGTCCAAGGCCAGCTTGGAGCAACCTGGTCTACTGGGAGGTGTCCCTACCTGTGGCAGGGGGTGGGATGGGATGACTTTTAAGATCCTTTCCAACCCAAACCATTCTGGGATTCTGTGTCTAAGTGAAAGGGGTGTAAGAGGTCGGTGCCAGGCTAATGGGAAAGTTTGGGAAAGAATGAAGAATAATTTTAATTATTTAAATATTTTAGTTTCTCTTCCCACTGTGTGTAACACAGCCTGCACTGCCCAAACTCCTGGTGTGTTGGGAACTGCTAAAAAATGAAAGGGAAAACCTGCCCTTAAGTAGCAAGGACAAGCAAGTGACTTTGGAGTTGCCTTTGAAGATAAATTCCTGGTTAGCCCAGGTTTGATGGCAGGGTTGCCCTGCAGTCCTGGTGCTCAGGGATTAATCAGTTAAAAGAAATCAACAGAGAACATAGAAACTTTTGTTCCCCAGGAGTGTTTTTCTCCAGCTGAAAACAGCAGGAGTTACATCATTCTTTTTTTTTTCCAGGTGGCCAACCAACCCCAGTGAGAAGGCAGAGAGTGATAACTGGGATGCCTGGGCAGCCCAGCCCTCCCTGACCGTGCCCAGCGCGGGGCAGCTCCGGCAGCGCTCGGCCTTCACCCCCGCCACCGTCACCGGCTCCTCTCCCTCCCCTGTGCTGGGCCAGGTGAGCTCCTGAGGCACTGCAACTGTTGGCAAAGGTTTGGGAAGCAAATGGGAACCTTGGCCGTGTGTTGAACCTGGCACCTGAGGTGGGGGAGCTCTTCCAGCCTGGAGGGAGAACAGGGAGTGTCCCCCCCCTGCAGAGCTGCTCCAACCCTGGGGAACAGCCCAGCAAGGACATGGAGCTGCTGGAGAGAGTCCAGAGCAGGCCCCAAGAGGATCCCAGGGCTGGAGCAGCTCTGCTGGGAGGAAAGGCTGGGAGAGCTGGGATTGTTCAGCCTGGAGAGGAGAAGGCTCCAGGGAGACCTGAGAGCCCCTTCCAGGGCCTAAAGGGGCTTCAAGAGAGCTGGAGAGGGACTGGGGGCAAGGGATGGAGGGACAGGACAAGAGGAATGGCTTCCCAGTGCCAGAGGGCAGGGTTAGATGGGAGATTGGGAAGGAATTCCTGGCTGGGAGGGTGGGGAGGCCCTGGCCCAGGTTGCCCAGAGAAGCTGTGGCTGCCCCTGGATCCCTGGAAGTGTCCAAGGCCAGGTTGGAGGGGGCTTGGAGCAACCTGGGCTGGTGGAAGGTGTGCCCATGGCAGGGGGTGGGATAAGATGATCCTTAAGGTCCCTCCCAACCCAAACCCTTCCATGGTTCTGTGATCCATTGGCAGCATCTGGGGCAGGTTTAACACAGAGCAGTTGCTGTTCTGCTGTTCTGGGCTGGCTGGTTTGGATTTTGGTGGCCCAGGGTTGGGTCACTTCCCTGGGACTTTCTTGACCACCTTCACTCCCAGGTGGATTGTGTGGTTAAGTGGAATAGCTGTGGCAAAGCTTCAGAGCAGCTGAACTCTGTCCATCTGTTCAGGCATTTCCTTTTCCTCAATGGAACAACAAACAGAACTGTCTTCTGGAAAGTGCTGAATATCTCACTGTCTGAGAGCAAAAAAACCCTGGATTGTACAGTGAATAATATCAGCAAAGCATCATTTTCCATATTTACTTATTTACTTATGTTCTGCCAAATCAGCTGCCTGAAGGTTTATTACATGTATTTTTTAATTGTAAAACTATTTAACTTAATACTGATTATGTGTCAACAGCCAGAAATGTAGGAGGGCTGTAAACATTTCTGGAATGACTCAGGAAGTTTAACTGGTGTTGCTTTAGCTGAGGGAGGGGCTGTATGTTGTTGCTCCATAAGTAGCCTGAGAATATAATTCCTTCAGCATCTTTCCTGGTGAAAGGGGGGGACATGACTGACTTCTGTCTCTTTTCTTTAAGGGTGAAAAAGTGGAGGGGCTTCAAGCACAGGCTTTGTATCCTTGGAGGGCGAAAAAGGACAACCACCTGAATTTCAACAAGAACGATGTCATCACAGTCCTGGAGCAGCAAGACATGTGGTGGTTTGGAGAGGTCCAGGGACAAAAGGGGTGGTTCCCCAAATCCTACGTGAAGCTCATTTCAGGCCCCATTAGGAAGTCAACGAGGTATTTTGTTTGCTTTTCCTGTAGTGGAATAGATAAATAACCAGGAGGAGTTGCACAGTCGGATTTTAAAGCTGAGAATCTACTCTGTGAAAGTGCCTTTTCTTGTCTGACTCTTCTGGAGAGTTTGGACTTCCAGCCTTGGAAATCCGTGTGGGCAATAAAACTGACCCCAGTTCTCCCTGGGTCTTGCCTCACCAACAAAGCAGTAATGGACCTTCTTAATTTTAGGTGACTTACACCAAAAAAATGAGTCTGTTGGATTTTATGAATTACACCAGTGTAAGTCACAGCTTATCTTTCCCCAAAATTAAAAGGGATTCCTCAAATCTAAATCACTTCTCATTATTCTCAGAGGAATTTAAATTCTGTGTAGTGTGAAGGTGACATGGACATCAGCAATACAAATGAGAAGGATCTTAGATCATTTTTTTTGCTGAGGAAGAAGAGGAGATGCAGAAAATTCTCTGTTAAGGCATCTGCCTCAGTGAAACCACAACTGGAATTCAGAGCTTTATATGGCACATTTATGGCTCTTTTAAAACACAGGGAATTGCTTGGGGGTGCATGTGCATTTTTGAGTTTGAAATATAACACTGATTTTTCTGAAGAGATTGAATTCCTTATATAACCGTTATTTTCTCCCAAAGCATGGATTCTGGATCCTCAGAAAGCCCTGCTAGTCTGAAAAGAGTAGCATCCCCAGCAGCCAAGGCAACGATGTCAGGGGAAGGTAAGGACTCCAAACCATGGCACTGAGAGGATCTTCCTCTGCCATTAACCACAACAACTCTGCTTGTTACCAAAATCAACCTCGGGGGCAGGCTGGGGGCTTCCAGTTGAGGTGCAAATCCATTTGCCTCTAGAATGATTTAAAGTTATTATGGCAAGAATTTATATGTGTTGTGTATGTGGAAGAAATAATTTAACACATCACAAGATATTTTCTGTATTTTGTAACTTTTCCCAATGTTTTTATTTTTTTGCCAGCATTTTGGTGACAATCTCTGGTCTGGGAGGGGGTTATGCCAAATAAACACATCTGTCCATGTTGTCAGGAACACATGTCCATGATGTCAGGAATTGGGAATAAATGTCTCAACTTCCCCCAAAGCTCATTTCCAATGTTTCATTGAACCCTTAATTAAAGCAGTGACTGTGAGTTATAGAATGTTGGGATCCTTCTGGTCAGGGATGGAGCCTGGGGCACAGACAGAGAATTATCAGAGCATTTCCAGGCCTCTGGAGGGTTTTAAATGGGGAATTCCTGACTGGAGGAAACAGCAAAGGTCCACCTATGAGGAAGGGGAGATAATCAGTTATTTCAAAATACAGCTGGTCTGGCTCACTCTGTATTTCCTGGAATCATAGAATGGTTTGGGTTGGAAAGGACCTTAAAGATCATCTCCTTCTGGTTTTCCTCATATTTGAGCAAAAGCAATGGCAGACACGCTAAGTCTTGTTATATATCTATATATATTTGTAGATATATGTCAGGTTATATGTTTGTATTAAAAAGGAACTCAACTTTTGGGAAAACATTTCCAAGGAGCTGTATTTTTAAGAGATAATAAAGCTTTTTAAGTAATGAGCTTTTTAACTAATAGAGCTTTTTTGAAGACATAGAAAAGATGGATGTAGCATCTTCTGTTCCCTTGGGAGGATTTAGGAAAGGCTCCTGTGTGGATGGTGATGTTTGGGGGGTGTGGGTGCAAACAGAAGTGGGAGTTCTTCAGCTGCAGGCTTTCCTTGGGAACAGGAATTTGGTTGGAATTCTTGCTGAACTACCCCCAGAGAAGGTTTTTTTGGTCAGATTTAGCGTTCAAGCACAAAGAACATTTTCCAGCTGCACTGGAACACGTGAACATTTCTGTGCCATGGGCAGGGAAGTCTTTCAGGAATCTTGGGGGCTGCTCTTGGGCCCAGAACAGGGGAAAATCAGCCTGAGGAGCCTGCTTTGTGCCCAGAAAAGTGTGGGAATGCTCAGGTCAGTAGGAGACAGCGAGTTCTGTAGATAATGGTGCTGAATTGTCTGAAATTGGGCTTTCTAATAATTTTTTGCCTGTAGTTCTGGTTGAATTATCTCAACACCAGCCCAGTTTGGTGGGTTTGCACTGGACCACTGAGGAGTTGGGTGTGTTTACCCAGAGCAGGTTCAGACCCATCTATGGGTAAGAGGGGCTGAAAGAATTCCCTGTGCCCTTGGGCCAACAGCAGCTGGATCCAAAATTCCGGATGCTGAGACTTCCCATCCCAAACACTGAGAGTTCCAGGCACCAGCACAAACCAGAAACCACTGGGAGACGTGTTTGCAGAGGGATATAAATGATGGTCTATGCATATTTTAATTATACAAGCCAATCATATCAAATCCCCCCCAGGCAGCCTTTTGATCCCTTCTATTTAGTTGTGCTAGGTACCATTTTTTGCATGGGATATTGAGGTCTCTGTGAGAAGTAAATAATAAATTGGTCTTCCATCGAACCTGTGAATAAACCACTTGTATGACTTGGGTTTTGCACGTGGTAATGCAGCAGTTTCTGAAGTGTTTTCTCCCTGTTTTCTGCCCGTGTCCCTCTCCCAGAGTACGTTGCCATGTACACCTACGAGAGCTCGGAGCAAGGAGACCTCACTTTCCAACAAGGTGACATGATTCTGGTGACAAAGAAAGATGGTGACTGGTGGACGGGCACGCTGGGTGATAAATCAGGAGTTTTCCCATCTAATTATGTGAGACTCAAAGATTCTGAGGTAGAGAAACGTTGAAATGTTCTCAACTGGAGCTGAGGGTGTTTCGTTTGGGGTTCTCGTAGCTGGAGGTGGGTCAGAAGGGAAAGGAAAATGTGGTGGAGTTTTACTGAGTGTGAGCTTGGAAAGGAGGAACAGCAGTAACAACAGTAACAGCTGTGTTTTACAACACAACATCCCAAATAATTTATGGGTGGTGTGTTAAAATAAACCCTGCCTGTGTTAATGGTTCACGTGGCACTTGGGTAGAGCCAAAGCAGAACAGCCACGATTTCTTTATTCCTCAGGTAAGTTTTTAATGGCTGAGCTGGATCTTCCTGACATTATTGAAAAAAAAAAGTAATTTAGAGAGCAATATTTCAAGCTGTTGTATTTTTTCCCTATTGACATTTTCTTGCAATCAAGAGTAACAAATTTTGCAACAAAACTTAACCAAAGCTACTGTATTTATTTGAAAGGTTTTGACTGAATAATAGAGGTTCTGTTCCACCTATTTTTGTCCTGAAATAATGCCATAAAACATGTCCACGTGGTTTTTTTTCTTTCTTTTTAGGCATTCTGAAGAAAGGTGTTTTCTCATTTATATTGTTTGAGGGGATAATTTATTTAGTAGTAGGAATTAGCTTAGTGTCAGAGTTGAATGCACTTGATGAGAAGGAGCTCTGGTTTATACTTCTGGAATAATGGGGGGTTAAAAGGTAAATAAGTAAAAACCAGTGGATTTTGTGGATTTGGATGGAAAGGCTTTTTCACAAGTGTGTTTTCTGGAATTGTGTGTGTGTGTGACACAACTCAGTGAAAGACTCTGCACCTCTGAGCCTGAGCAAAGTCGCTCCTTAAAACCATTCTGCTGGTGGAAAAGCCAAGGAATAAAATCCTGCAGTGGAATGTGCAGCTGTAGGAAGCCTTTGTAGGGGAAATTTAGAGGCAGTCCAGAAATCCCAGCAACATCCTCTAGGACAGGATTGGGAAAAAACCTTGAGAGTTAATGATGCTCAGCATTGCAGTCCTTGGGAGAGAGGATGTTGGGGTGTTGTTGGCAGCTCTTGGCAGAGAACTCAGGTGTTTAGAGCTGGGAACTGGTTTTTATTGCAGTCCTTGGGAGAGAGGATTTTGGGGTGTTGTTGGCAGATCTTGGCAGAGAACTCAGATGTTTAGAGCTGGGAACTGGTTTTCTCAGAGGGGTCAGTGGGATGTTTCTCTGCCCTGGGCTTTCCTGGGGCTGAGCCAGCTCAGTGCCCCTCATCCCAAAGTGCCCCAACTGCCCTTTTGGCTGCTGAAAATCCCACCTGCAGCTCAAATCTTGATGAGAGAGGGAGGAAGAAGCTCAGAGCTCGTGGAGACCTTGGTGTCCATATTCCCTACAGGGGTTCCTGTGCCTGCAGGATACAGTTCTGTGTCCAGGGGGGTAATTTTGATTACATGGCAGAGTTTTGCTCTTCAGCTTGTTCACAGAGCCAGCTTTTACAGAGGCTTTCACAGTCCTGGCTGGGTGTTAACTCTGATCTCTGCTGTGCTTGGACAGCTGCCTGCTGGGGGAAAATGGTCCTAAAAGAGTGAATTAATTTAATGTGTCCTGCACTGTTGACTCAGACCCAAAGACAAACAGTGGTGATCTTTCAGCAGCAAGTGCAGAGTTTATAGAAATGCCTGTAAACCTCAAAATCTCAGTGGTTTCTACACCAGAAGAATTTTTTAATTTGTTCTTCTGCCCAGGCTGCCCATTCACCCCCAGGTGATAAATTAAACTATTCCCTGCTCCTCCAAGTTCCAACTTATTAACAGGGTGGGAAAGTCTTTGTTCTCCAGAGGAACAATGACACCAGTTCGTGGTCCCTGCCCAAGTTTTCATTAGGCTGAGGTGGATGGAAGCAGATCTGAACCAGGGTTTTATCCTTGGGTGGTAATTCCTGTGAGGGGATGGAGCTCCCAGGGGAGCTTGGAAACCAGCAACTGGGATGGCTCTGCTTACAAAACTGCCTAAAGGTTCAGGAGATAATCCCAGTGGGAATGTGCAGGGTCCTGCTGGACCACCCAGTTTAATAAGACTGCTGGGTCTCACTGAACTGACAGAGCAAGTTCTGCTCTTCTGGTTCAAGGGACTTTATCACTTCTCTCAAAATACACTCAGATGCTCAGTGAGGGTCTCAGCTGTGCAGAAAGGAAGAACAGGGTCTGTCCTCTCCCTGTGTTTCCTCTCAACAGAGGGAATTGAAACTATTTCTCCATCTCCTGAACGGACCAGGAATTGGGTCCATCTCAAATGTACTGTTGGTTAATTTATTTACTGAAGTGCTTTAGGACTTCTCTGTGTGTTTATTCTGCTTTTTCACCAAGGATTCAGAGAGCCCTCAAACACAATTCACACTCAGTCTGGCCCAAGTGATTTTGGTGTTTCTGCCATCCAACAACCCCTCTCTGTGTCCCAGTTGCTGCAGGACAGTGTCCCATCCCACCCAATAACCCCCCTGTGTCCCAGCTGCTGCAGGACAGTGTCCCATCCCATCCAATAACCCCTCTGTGTCCCAGTTGCTGCAGGACAGTGTCCCATCCCACCCAATAACCTCTCTCTGTGTCCCAGTTGCTGCAGGACAGTGTCCCATCCCACCCA